GGATGTGAGCTCAACAATTGTATGTCGCTGGGTTTGGGTGAATTTCTTGAAATCAAATTGTATTGAGACACTAATTTCATGTGAAGAAATTTGTTAGTTAATGTCAAGAGAAGACGTCGGGTGAGTCATGGTGTTCTGCAGCTGTTTGGCTTTACTAAGAACTTCAGTTTGACGTAGTCCATCCAACATCTTCCCTTAGTTAGGATGAAATTGGCCTAAACCTTCGTATGTCATACGATGGAAATGATCAAAACTGGAATCCAGTCTTGCAAAAATTGCAAGTCACCAAATCAACAATTGTGGACCAATAGTTTTCTCGAAATCCAGTTTTTCTTCGCACAAATCCATTTAGTTTGTTGTGGGAAAATTCAGCCATTTATCCATAAACCACCTTAAGTGATCTATTGTAAGTCAAGATTATTCTCAAGCAGTACTGATAGCCGCGAAAACGACTGTCATCACAAATTCAACAACCATATATATATCTCCGATAAGTACAGTATCATTTAGTTTCATAACTCCACGTTGACAACAGACTAGCTAGTAGTGCGTTTTCGAGGCAAAGATCATAGAGAAAATAAGACAACAAGCCGATAACAAGGCCTAGGGTGAGAAATAACTTCCTCCCAGAACGAGCACTAATTTTCACCTCTGTTTCTATGCCTGGCGCCGGAATCTGTGACACGAACCAGCATGTCTGATGCCTCGACCTTCACGCCCGCCTTGAGCATACTCTCCCCATGTCTCCCCTCCTCGTGGCCCGGTATGCACAGCCGAACATGGGCCAAAGGTTGCATAAAGACGACCTGCGGCAGAGCGACAGCGGGGGTTGGATAGTTAAAACACCCTGTTGCACGCCTCAGCAACCAGCGCATTCAGGGGCATGCTCACTCCTGTTGGGTAGAGGTAATTAATGCGCAAAGTACATGTATGACATAATAAACGAGCTCACAATGGCCACGCTCACACGAAATGGACAATTAACCATCCACCCAAGGCATGGCGATAACTCGACCAGCCTCCCCTGTCTGGTGGCGACAAGCCGGCCTCGGCCGGGCCGACTGGGTCGCCCACACCAGCCTCCTCCTGCCGGTAGACCCGACCTGGAGCCGACGAGCACAAACTGAACTGGGCAGCAAGTGGCTGGTTGAAAGGTTGGATTTAACAAATTATGAAGTTATAAAATATGATAAATGACCCTATTGAATGAAATGGCATGAAACAAGTGCTCAAACTGAGGCAATTTGCTTCCACAACTCGAACACACCTCTTCCATTCGTCTTGCCGGTTGACGACCACCGGCTGTTTCGATTCTCGGTCTATCGATTCACGTGTCTTCGCCTCGTCGAGTGAGTCTTGTCGGCTCAGGCCTAACAACAATACCCACTCACCCACATTCAATAAATCAATTCTCACCCTCTACTATCTATCCACCTGTTCATCCATTTGGTTGTTCATTAAATTATCCTAGTAACCGAGGTCTTGTCACTTTATACCCACCTACATTAGTTTGTGATTGCTCTTGTCCACTAGTAGACCTTTGTGGGCATGCTCTGAAATGGTATCCCTCAATTGATAGGCATCCAAAACCTGTCCAAGTGCATAGATGGCTTTCTTTCTTAAGGCAGCACATACATTTTATCGGTCTTAGGCCAAGCAACCCTCCAAGGCACCAGTGGCGAATGTTCTGGCATCGATTGCAGAACACAAAAGCCCCTCTGACCTTCAGGCCCGGTTGGCAAGCTTGGTCAATCTTGTTGTCGGCTAATTACAGGTCAGATGGTCGCCGAACCGAAAAATCTTCAACCCGCTCGAGCGGAGGCTTGACCCACAGTTGGGTAGCCACGCGTCTACACGCAAGTATCGATGCTTGTGGAAAATGAGCACACATACACATTAACTCGGCTCCACGTTCATACACTGAGCCCGTCCGTCTGTGGGGCCACCAGACTGGCAGTACTTTCCAAGTCCCATTAATCGGACGAATCTGATGTAATGGCCCTCTCCTTTCAAGACATCCTCCATTGCAGTAACCCTCTTCTTCCCCTACCCCCGTAACATCAACTAAGAAATTGCTTCCTTTTGTTCTCAAACGCATCCACTTTCAGGCATGCACTCAAACGTTGGCGCATAGGCGGGTACATACACACACGCACTGATACGAACATGTTCCGAGGCTCACGCACACAAGCTCAGTAGCACAGTGACACACAAACCTGTACACATATACACACATAAACACACGAAAACGGACATAATTTGAGCCAAACTCTCCACCTTGAAGCGGTGCGGTGACAACACGACGAAACTAGCAACAATTTTCATCCGCCCTTGGTCACCCTGTCACCCACCACCCCATAATCTGTCATTAAGTAGGGCCGGCTGGTAGCACACACACACACAGGGCAGCTATCAAAAGCAGACGGTTAGCAAATCTGGTGTCTTAGAATTACTGTCTGTATAGCACCAATCTGGGTCAGGTGATTTCGTTGACCGATTCGTCACCAGATATAATTGCCGCTCAGAATGCTGCCACGGAGGAAACTGAAGACATTTGCATTATATTGCTCGTTATTTGGTCGCCTTGGGGAAACCGGTGACATTTGAACAGAGTCGAGACTATAGTTCACTTCCAAAAGCGTGTACGGTAGTCCATTTGGAGGCTGATCAAAGAGCATAGAGCAGTGGCTCCCAAACTTTTCCTAGTCGCGGCGCCCTTTTTCAATTAAAATTTTTCCATGGCGCCCTACCCTAAGTATGACTATTCGTAAGTAAGACATAAAAATAAATAAAACTCGTGTATCTTTATTATTTTTTTTACTTTATTAATATTAACTTAATATTTACTAATTAATGTGATAGATGAGCCTACAAATCACTGCACATCTTTTCAAATTGAAGCATCTACACACACAGTTTGGGAATCACTGGCATAGAGGATTGTGAAAAAGGTAGACTTCAGATTCATAATCGAAGATATGAAGACCAAGATGGTGTGGCCATCGGCAGGGTCGCAGTCTCCTTCCGATTCATAGAAGTTGGTTGACCTCGTTTTCGCAACTTGGTCTTGTTGTCAGGACGACTTAGTTGAACGCACCTCGTTCGCAGTTTGCTGCCATATTAGTTATCATAATTTCCAACAACAGACCGTGGACTTGGTACATTCTCAGACGTTTCGCCGGCATCGTAGTCGGTATCATCAGTGAGTCTTGCCATTCTCTGCACCAAGCTACAAACTCGTCAAAAGACGAGTGAAGTCAATCCTTCCACCAACGTTCTGCCGAAACGGTTACACTATCATCTGGCCCATCTGTCTACTCCTTGCCCTCTTATCCGATTCCTGCCCTGAATCCAAAAACGCAAACTTTAATCGAAACCGAGCGAAATCGGACAACCAGAAGGGAACTAAACGTATCTCCGGCACCATGAGGAGGATCTGGCTAAGAAACCCTAGTCGGATTAGCCGATCGAAAGAGAGGAGGCCAAAGTGAATAACGGGCATGATTAGGCCACACTAAATTCGTCAAAAAAAGGTCACACTTTTTTACGAGTGGAATGTAAACAAGTCAGAAATTGTGATAGGGCGGTAGTCGAATATGAGGGTATGGAGTAGATCGAGCGGCCAGGGCAGAAAGTGGAGTGATAGTGTAACCGTTTCGACGGAAAGTTGGTCGAGTGATTGATTTCACTTGTCTCTTTGACAAGTTTGTGGCTCGGTGTGGAGAATGGCAAGACTCACTGATCCTGTCGACTACGATGCCGGCGAAACGTCTGAGAATGTACCAAGTCTACGGTTTGATGCTAGTAATTATGATAACTATTATGGCAGAGGACCTCGGATAAGAGAAATTCAACTAAGTCGCCCTGACAAAAAAAACAAGTTGCGCTATCGAGGATAAAAGTATGAGAGTAACTGGGACGAATAACAATAAATCGGACAGAATAAGTTAATTTTACAGCCAAATTAGACTTGCATGGTATTGTAAATGAAGTATAGATTATTTTAATGGCGAGGATGTGGCCGCTTGCCCACAAACTAGCTTCACCAAGTGGTGAGGCTTTTCGGCATGCAGAATTCATACAAATTTTTCATTTTTAACTAGGTTTTAAAGACCACTAATAGATCATTCATAAGATCTGTAATGTAGTGAATGGCTGGTAGTTGAAATTTCCCAAAATGTTATGAGTAAGTCTCATGCTTACGCTGAATTTGCATGGCCTTGCTTCCCAAAAGTTATCCTCATTTAGGGTTGATAGCAGTTTTGACCTTGCCCTGAGACTAGAGCAGTGATATTGTAGGGTATAATCTCACCACGAATATGTGAATTTCACGGAAGCCTATGCATTTCCCCTGTCACTAAAGCAAAATTGTATTCGCTAATACAATCGACTACATTACACATTGTTCAGTTTATAAATGGGCTTTTGAGAATACCAGTAGCTTCGATATAGGAGCTCGGTCGAAACGGCTGTCGACCCAGGAGAAGAATACCTTTTGGAAGGCGAGAATGAGTGAAATTCAATGCAAAACTGAGGCCCGATCATACCATTGTGGGAAAATTCAATTAGCAGTCCTTCGTTATCTTAGACGAAATTGGGTCAATGCAGCTCTTATTCATAGAATTTTGACGACTCAGACGGTGAGCAAAATTGGACTTGTGCTACTTCATAGTCGCAGATCTAAAGAACATGTTGGTGTGGTCTCTATTTTTTCCTCAGATTCCCTTTGCTGTAAAGAAGTAGTTTGACCTCGTTTTTGCTAGATGAACGCATCATGTTAGAAGTTCTCTGTCATAGTAGTCATGACAATTTTCAGCTTCTAACCGTAGACTGTATATATTTCCAGACGCTTAATTGCCTTTTATTTCGGGTGAAATAATGTAATTTATAGCTTGA